TGGAAGCATTTGTGAATGGCATTAAAGGAGATTTTACATATTTTATGAATAGTGAGTCAGTAGTCAGAGAACTGGGAACAGAGAACTTCATAAGAAGCTTGTAATCTTGTTCACCCCTTTCAAATGATCACGTTCTGTCAATAGTTAATTTATTTACTTCTTATCCTTTGCCGAAAATGACATCACCTGTATGTCCTTGCAATATTTAAGACTGCAATATTGGAGGGATTGCTATAAACGAATAATAAATTGTAAGCAATGTTTCTCCTGATCTGACCCAGGCTGGCTGGAGGTCTGCCACCTTATGCTGCCATTTATCCCAACTGGCTCCACTGCTGGAGTCACCTGAGCCAAGAGGTGAGCAATTTTTCTTGATATGAGTTACTGGGAATGGGGATTTGAATTTTGTTAACTTTTCTTGAATGTCTCAGTTCTTCCACTGATGACCTTCTAACGTTCATTGGAATCTGAATAGACTAATCGAATTAAAGGCCTAATAGAATTAAAGCGGCACACTACTGTAATAATGAGTTTACCTACGTGACTGCTTAAAACAACCTGGAAGTGATTTATTCTTGTCAACTGGATCTGTTTTATTTATTTTTGTTGCTTAAAGAGTTAGTCCACCCAAAAATGAAAATTAGGCTGCGTTTTACTCACCCCCGAGGCATCCTAGGTGTATATGACTTTCTTCTACTCCGTCGGAGTTATATTAAAAATTGTTTTTGATCTTTCAAGCTGTTTAATGCCACTCAGCGGGTGTTGCATTGCTTCAGTCCAAAAGAACTTAAATAAAAATCGCCCATCCATAAAAAAAGTGTCTCACACGACTCCGGGGGGTGAACAAAGGCCTTCTGTAGCGAATCGATGCATTTTTGTAAGAAAAATATCCATATTCAAAATGTAATAATCACTTTAATGTAGCTTGCGCCAACAGTTGTACACAGAAGCAGCTCCGGGAGCATGACGTATGAGGTCAGCTCTGCGCATGCGCCGGTGAGTCTCGTGAAAACCAACGTTTGTTAACCGGAGCAAAGGAAGCAAAGTTTCCTTACTTTAGCAAAGGAAAACCAGTCTCCTCTTGGCTCATATCGAAATCCTCTGACATTCTTCTTTACAAATCCTCGTTTTGTACTTCTAATTAGTGACCGTTGTTTTGTTTTGATCTCTCCCCTGCGCTTCCGCGTGCGTCACTTCTGATCGGGGCATGCACAACACCGACCTCATACATCATTCCCCAGGAACTGCTACTGTTTACAACAGTGAGCGCAAGCTAGATTCAAGTGATTATTATGTTTTGAATATGGATATTTTTCTTACAAAAACGCATCGATTCGCTACAGAAGGCCTTTGTTCACCCCCCGGAGCCGTGTGAGACACTTTTATTTTTTTTTTATGGATGGGAGATTTTTAATTAAGTTCTTTTGGACTGAAGCAATGCAACACCCGCTGAGTGGCATTAAACAGCTTGAAAGATCAAAGACAATTTTTAATATAACTCCGACTGGATTCGTCTGAAAGAAGAAAGTCATATACACCTAGGATGCCTCGGGGGTGAGTAAAACTTAATTAACCTAATTTTAATTTTAATAAAGATGTTTCTCTTGTCATCCATATAAGTTGATATGTTAAACTGGATGAGTGACAGAACATCTTGAGCAACAGAAAAAGTTTTGTTGACCACAGTACCTGGTAATGTTTTTCTACTGTGACCTACTAAATAAGACACTTCATTATTAGGAATGACTGCATTAGCAATGTTACCATTTGAAGAAACTGTCAGAAAATATAACTGATTTTTTTTTCTCCTCTTGTGTGTCTCAGGGCAACATGAGCAGAGGCAACAGTCTGTTCTTCAGAAAGTTGCCTGCAGGGAAGATGTATGCCATTGAGCAGAAGAGATTTTTTTGAATGGGAAGCTATCAGTATAGTCTAAAATTATAATAATATAATTGAGCTGGTCCACAAAGTTGGACTCCTAATTCTTCGTATGCACTTGTTTAAGATGACAAACTTTTTTTGATAATCAGTCCGCATCAGCCTCCAGGATTATTGCTGTTCATTTTATCAGTACATTGTTTTCACTACATTACGATGCGATTTGAAATCGTGAAACATAAAGAGCTTTATTTTAATACCCAGGGATTTGTATACATAACAAGTAAAACAGACCACAGTATAATTTCAGTGGAGCACTCAAGGGCGCTCTAGACCATCTGTGCCTGAGTCCAGTACAGGCCCCTTACATCTCTGTTTTTTGTGCTTGACCATATTGCTTGTCAGTAAAACAGTAATTCTACACCTGCTGTTGTTTCTACTGGTTCATGCACTGACTGACTGACAAACAAGAAATTCTCTACCCTGTTAATAGTACACTGTGTTGTGTGTGTCCATGTGAGAGGAAGAACTGTGTGTGCTGTGGAGGGTGATTTCCAGCCACATCCATCTGAGCTCTAGTCGAAATCAGTCAAGATTTTTATTTCTAATGACATTCTATTTGACCCAAATAAATGTGAGAATGCTTTTTTTTTTTGTCTTTGTGTCTTAGTCATCCATCATCTGCACAACAGACAGGTGCTGAACATACAGAAACTTTTTAGAAACTAGCTGTAACGTTGTTCTTCATCTTCAGTTCTATTGTCATTGTCCAGATAATGATATACAGGTTAACCAGAACTGCAAAAACCATATCTATTATTTACATAATATCATGGTGCAAGAAAGTATGAAGAAAAAAAAAGATTTATTAAATGGGGATTTATTAACTGCTATGAGTTTTTATGAGATTTCAACTTGGGGGTCTGACAAGTTATCATTTGATGATATAAAATGTTTCAAAAAGATAAAAATATTAAAGTGATTAGCATCACCCAAAGCTAAGCTGGAGTAGTAAAGCTGAATGTTTAAGTGTCCTGTCTACAATTACGTATAAAGTAACGCACATGTACATCAATTATATTTAATGCTGTTAATATTACCACATTAAGCAATTAAATCTATTAATATGGTACAATATACAATACACTCAGGGTTGTTTTTGTTTTTTTGGTCAACATGGCAGATAAAGTGTTCAGTTTGTCATGTGATCTCAGTATGTGCTGAAAAATATTGATATGCTTGGAGTCTTCATTTTATGTGAGTGAGTAGACATTAGAGTACGGAGTGTACAGAAAATCAGTTTTCATTGTCTCCTACAGCATTTCTAGGAAACTAGTTTTTTTTTTTTTTTTCCTTTTTTCATAATGACCATAAAGCAGTGTTGGTTCTAGTGTTGGGGTCAGCGCCAGCTCAGCCACCCCTATGATACACCCTGACCCCTAACTCCCCCCTCTTAAATTTGAGCAGCAGTAATGGGAAGATTGGATCATTTTACTGAATTTCATTAAGCAGAATTAACTAATCTTTCTTGAAGTCATTTGAGCAGAGTTAGCATACACTGTTAAGTTTAGCAAACTTAACTATAAGTAACGCACATGTACATCAATTATATTTAATGCTGTTAATATTACCACATTAAGCAATTAAATCTATTAATATGGTACAATATACAATACACTCAGGGTTGTTTTTGTTTTTTTGGTCAACATGGCAGATAAAGTGTTCAGTTTGCCATGTGATCTCAGTATGTGCTGAAAAATATTGATATGCTTGGAGTCTTCATTTTATGTGAGTGAGTAGACATTAGAGTACGGAGTGTACAGAAAATCAGTTTTCATTGTCTCCTGCAGCATTTCTAGGAAACTAGTTTTTTTTTTTTTTTTCCTTTTTTCATAATGACCATAAAGCAGTGTTGGTTCTAGTGTTGGGGTCAGCGCCAGCTCAGCCACCCCTATGATACACCCTGACCCCTAACTCCACCCTCTTAAATTTGAGCAGCAGTAATGGGAAGATTGGATCATTTTACTGAATTTCATTAAGCAGAATTAACTAATCTTTCTTGAAGTCATTTGAGCAGAGTTAGCATACACTGTTAAGTTTAGCAAACTTAACTATTGTGAATTCTTATCCTTATGCTTGGAGTTGATTTCCAACTGAAGAATACATTTTTAAAAATGAGAATTCTACCCTCATCAATTTATTGTAAATCTATGTTTAAATCATGCATATTTCTCAGTCCTCAGGATATGTACATATGGATCCAAGAATCCTAACTCTGGTCATACAGCTTAATCAATATATATCCCAAAATTCAAAGTTAGCTTACAGAAGAGGACGTCTAATGATAGTTCAGTTTTTACAACAGAATTGGTCACTATCCTTTCAGCCCTTGAATGGGTAGAGGAAGGTCCGTCATTGAATATGGTAATGTGCTTAGATTCATACTCTACATAGTCTACATCACAAACAAATATAGTTTATGAAATCCTTCTAAATTTCCTTAAATTACAGAATATGGGAAAAATGCTAAAATTCATGTGAGTACCTGCACATCTGGGAGTCCAAGAAAACAAAGTAGCTGAAGATCCAGCAAAATAAATGTACTAAGCAAGACAGAGGTTAAAGGGAAAACAACACAATAATAACTGGTTTAAATGAATCTTTATCCAGAATAGGAAAACATGAAACAGGACTATGTAACTCGAAATAAAGAATGCAAAAGTAGTGCTGCACGGGGTATAGGGTTCTTGTCTCGGTGCTCTTTGGGTGCAAGGGATGATCCACGTCCAAGGCACTCGAATCTTATTCAAAAAGTTTTAAAAAGCCTTTATTTCAACATGGCTATAAGTTTTAAAAACCAGGTGACCAGGACTATGTAACTGTTGAACATGTGCTTCTATTCTGTGTCACATATGAAGCAGAAAACATAACGTCACATTGCAAAATGTACACAGTGCTTTATTAAAATATCCCAAAATAACAGCTTTAGATGAAAGGATTTAAATATCATATAAACGTACACTGTTAAGTAATCGGAGAGTTTGTTTGTTAGTTTTCCTCACTTTCATTTGGCACTCTACACTCCTATCCAATTGGTGGCGGTAATGCACCATGAGCAGGTTTGCCAACCGCCAAAAATGTACAAGAAGAAGAAAAAGAGCAGCATCAACACTTCAAGATGTCGTCGCTGAATGACAGATCAGTTTGGGATGAGGTGGAGGTCTGTTTTATGTTTTAATAGTTCTATACTATTTTCCAAAACTGGTAAATATAGTACATATGTGCAGAAAAATGTATTAGGAGAGACGTGTTTAAACGGTGTTTCAGCACCGGCTTTGGGTCTGATGGCTTTCTGATGGCAGAGCATAGCATGACACAGTGAAATTCACTTTGCTTCATTCAGTCTTTATAAGTGTGTTCATTCTCCCGTACGATCATTCATGTTAGAGAATGACAGAACAACTTCAAATTTTTATTCGGTCTAAAATTTCTAAAAGATCGCCATACATGTCAGTACTAGTGTGATTATGGCTTGCTAGGATAACGTTAGCAGCGTGAGCTAATGGTGATCAACAGGAACTGAAGCTTCCTGCTGCTCGTATTCAGTTTAAACAGGAGATGTTGTATGAGTATTGCTACTCATTGTAAATATAGTGTACCTGACGTTTATGAGTTTGGAGGCTGGAGGACTTTAAAACAGAACGTATATTCAAACATGACTCCTCTGTTATATTTTATAGGATGGCATCGGCGAAGAAGTCCTTAAGATGTCCACTGAGGAGATTGTTCAGAGGACTCGTCTTTTGGACAGTGAGATTAAGGTAACCTTCATACTGTGATTCACATTTGGCGTGCTGATGATTGTTTTCAGTGTCTGCATGCAGTTCTGTGCCTCATTATGATGTTTATGATTGCAGATCATGAAGAGTGAGGTTCTGCGTGTCACTCATGAGCTGCAAGCCATGAAAGACAAGATCAAGGAAAACACAGAGAAAATCAAAGTGAACAAGACTCTGCCCTACCTCGTCTCTAATGTCATAGAGGTAAAATATGTCCCCTTTATTTTAGACATCTTATTTGGTGTGTCAGAATGGGACATAAGGACACTTTGTGGTCTGCATCAGTATGTGCATGGGATTAAAGCTTGTATGTGTTGTGTGTTTGAATGGAAGCTGCTAGATGTAGATCCTAATGACCAAGAGGAGGATGGAGCCAATATTGATCTGGACTCGCAGAGGAAGGGCAAGTGTGCCGTCATCAAAACCTCCACGCGGCAGGTGAGTCAATTATGTTATTTGAACCGCTTCAGCCTTGTTTTTGTGTGGCCATGAATTTCCATCATGTTTTCCTTTCCTTCATCACAAACATTTTCCTTTGTGTGTGTGTGTTTTAATACTGATTCGTGTTTTGAATTGGTTTTAGCCAGTTTATCTTAGGGGCTAGCAATATAGAAAAAAATATCATATCATAGGATTCTTTTTCAGGAAAATCACGATTCTTTGTCATGTCAGTTTTACTATTTTGCAAGTTGTCTGAGCAGTACAGCCAAACTAATTTCTCTATTTTAAAAACAAAGCCGTTCAAATAAAAAAGAATGGCTGACATTTAGGCCAAAGTGGGCGAAGATAAAAATGTTTGTCATTTATCTTTATTAAAAAATAAGAACAAAGATTCACATTACAAATACACATAATATACAAATAAACAAACAGTGCCTTATTTTTCAGGTACAGTTGGTGCAGTTAGCATTAGCATTCAAGAAATTGAATGAACAAATATAAAAATAAAGTATGTTTCCTGTATAAATTATAGATTGATCCTTATTAAAGCAACCATGTTAAAGTTCTTCAGTCAAGAGCAGTTAGTGATTTTTCTTTGTTTTGTTATTTTATTAACATTAAAGAGAGAGTTCGCCCAAACATGAAAATTATTTTATCATTTGCTCACTCTAATGTTGTTTTAAACCTGAATGAGTTTCTTTCTTCTGTTGAACATAAAAGCTATTTTGTAAAAAAAAATGTGGGAAACCAATTAGTTGCTGGTCCCCAGTGACTTCCGTAGTATTTTTTTTCCCTACTATCAAAGTCAGTGGGGATCAGCACAAGAAAGAAATTAATACAGAAATTGGGACAACATGAGAGTGAGTAAATAATAACAGAATTAAAATTTTTGGGTGAGCTATCCCATAAGCGGTAGCATGTTTAATACTATTAGTCTGCTGTCACTTTAAGACCTGCACTAATATACAGGCAAGCATCCATTTTTCTCTCAACTCTTTACTTTCACTGCGAAAGATAACTTGGTCAGTAATCATCAGGCTCTGTTTGACAGGCTTTTTAGTGTGTGCACACTTCAGGCACGCAAATGAAATGGATTTAAAGGCTTTAAAGAACATGCAAATAATATAATTTAACTTAATGGTTTTATAGTGTATGACATAGTACTATAATTGCAGACCTATTTCCTGCCTGTGATTGGTTTGGTGGATGCTGAGAAACTGAAACCTGGTGATCTTGTGGTAAGTGAGAATTAATTTCCCTTGACGGACTAGTTCAGGATATTCACAACCTTAAATAATGTTGTTTAAAAAGTATTTTCTCTAGAAACATGTTAAATTTGCTTCTGCACCTTTTCACAGGGTGTGAATAAAGACTCCTATCTGATTTTGGAGACTCTACCCACTGAGTATGACTCTAGAGTTAAGGCCATGGAAGTGGATGAGAGGCCTACAGAGCAGTACAGTGACATTGGTGGCCTTGACAAACAGATTCAAGAGGTAATGAAGGAGATCAATGACCGTATTGTAGACAAAACATTAGTTGATTTATTTTTTAACTAACTGCTTCTCTTTTTGCAGCTGGTGGAGGCAATTGTTCTGCCCATGAACCACAAAGAGAAGTTTGAGAATCTGGGGATCCAACCACCAAAGGGAGTTCTGATGTACGGACCACCAGGCACAGGAAAGACCCTGCTGGCCAGAGCCTGTGCAGCCCAAACAAAGGTGCAGTGTCTCTGAGCAACAGAGAATCATCAGTGCTAGGGCTGCATGATTTGGGGGAAAATATCACAGTCTGATGTTTTATTTTTTTTTCTTATAAAATTATTATTGCTATTGCTTACTGTTGTAATATTTCACTGAGAAATTAGTGTTTAAGAAAAAAATTGTTTTACAGTACAATTACCAGTAACAGTATTACTATTTCTTCATTTTCTTCTTTTTCAAATGTTAAAAAATCAAACTTTTATTTTGATGCAAAACTGCAGGGACCATTAAAGCTTCTCATTTGTTTACAACAGCCAATTTATAAGCCCTTCTAGCTACAAGTATTGTTTGGTGCATGTTGCGTTCCCAAATACAGGTTAAAAGCGACCCAAACTCAGAGCAGGTGCTGCTCCACAGTCCACACAATATCTATCTCTGCCTTTACTGCAGACCGAGCCTCTCTGAGACACTGAAAACACGATCATGAGCTGCTTTCGTGCAATAGTGCTTCACTCTGAAACACACAACACGTATTGATTTAATTTAATTGCATTCTTTGCGATTTGCAGTTATTAACCCTTTGACACTTACAATCAGTGTATTTAGAGAGTCTTATTTTATTAACATTAAAGAGAGAGTTCGCCCAAACATGAAAATTATTTTATCATTTGCTCACTCTAATGTTGTTTTAAACCTGAATGAGTTTCTTTCTTCTGTTGAACATAAAAGTTATTTTGTAACAAAAAAATGTGGGAAACCAATTAGTTGCTGGTCCCCAGTGACTTCCGTAGTATTTTTTTTCCCTACTATCAAAGTCAGTGGGGATCAGCACAAGAAAGAAATTAATACAGAAATTGGGACAACATGAGAGTGAGTAAATAATAACAGAATTAAAATTTTTGGGTGAGCTATCCCATAAGCGGTAGCATGTTTAATACTATTAGTCTGCTGTCACTTTAAGACCTGCACGCATCTAATATACAGGCAAGCATCCATTTTTCTCTCAACTCTTTACTTTCACTGCGAAAGATAACTTGGTCAGTAATCATCAGGCTCTGTTTGACAGGCTTTTTAGTGTGTGCACACTTCAGGCACGCAAATGAAATGAATTTAAAGGCTTTAAAGAACATGCAAATAATATAATTTAACTTAATGGTTTTATAGTGTATGACATAGTACTATAATTGCAGACCTATTTCCTGCCTGTGATTGGTTTGGTGGATGCTGAGAAACTGAAACCTGGTGATCTTGTGGTAAGTGAGAATTCATTTCCCTTGACGGACTAGTTCAGGATATTCACAACCATTAATACAGAAATTGGGACAACATGAGAGTGAGTAAATAATAACAGAATTAAAATTTTTGGGTGAGCTATCCCATAAGCGGTAGCATGTTTAATACTATTAGTCTGCTGTCACTTTAAGACCTGCACTAATATACAGGCAAGCATCCATTTTTCTCTCAACTCTTTACTTTCACTGCGAAAGATAACTTGGTCAGTAATCATCAGGCTCTGTTTGACAGGCTTTTTAGTGTGTGCACACTTCAGGCACGCAAATGAAATGGATTTAAAGGCTTTAAAGAACATGCAAATAATATAATTTAACTTAATGGTTTTATAGTGTATGACATAGTACTATAATTGCAGACCTATTTCCTGCCTGTGATTGGTTTGGTGGATGCTGAGAAACTGAAACCTGGTGATCTTGTGGTAAGTGAGAATTCATTTCCCTTGACGGACTAGTTCAGGATATTCACAACCTTAAATAATGTTGTTTAAAAAGTATTTTCTCTAGAAACATGTTAAATTTGCTTCTGCACCTTTTCACAGGGTGTGAATAAAGACTCCTATCTGATTTTGGAGACTCTACCCACTGAGTATGACTCTAGAGTTAAGGCCATGGAAGTGGATGAGAGGCCTACAGAGCAGTACAGTGACATTGGTGGCCTTGACAAACAGATTCAAGAGGTAATGAAGGAGATCAATGACCGTATTGTAGACAAAACATTAGTTGATTTATTTTTGAACTAACTGCTTCTCTTTTTGCAGCTGGTGGAGGCAATTGTTCTGCCCATGAACCACAAAGAGAAGTTTGAGAATCTGGGGATCCAACCACCAAAGGGAGTTCTGATGTACGGACCACCAGGCACAGGAAAGACCCTGCTGGCCAGAGCCTGTGCAGCCCAAACAAAGGTGCAGTGTCTCTGAGCAACAGAGAATCATCAGTGCTAGGGCTGCATGATTTGGGGGAAAATATCACAGTCTGATGTTTTATTTTTTTTTCTTATAAAATTATTATTGCTATTGCTTACTGTTGTAATATTTCACTGAGAAATTAGTGTTTAAGAAAAAAATTGTTTTACAGTACAATTACCAGTAACAGTATTACTATTTCTTCATTTTCTTCTTTTTCAAATGTTAAAAAATCAAACTTTTATTTTGATGCAAAACTGCAGGGACCATTAAAGCTTCTCATTTGTTTACAACAGCCAATTTATAAGCCCTTCTAGCTACAAGTATTGTTTGGTGCATGTTGCGTTCCCAAATACAGGTTAAAAGCGACCCAAACTCAGAGCAGGTGCTGCTCCACAGTCCACACAATATCTATCTCTGCCTTTACTGCAGACCGAGCCTCTCTGAGACACTGAAAACACGATCATGAGCTGCTTTCGTGCAATAGTGCTTCACTCTGAAACACACAACACGTATTGATTTAATTTAATTGCATTCTTTGCGATTTGCAGTTATTAACCCTTTGACACTTACAATCAGTGTATTTAGAGAGTCCGTGACTTGAACAGCTAAATTAAAGTCTGCTTTTGCGCTGGTGCTCAGCCGCTTGTCTTCTATCACTGTTCAGTGTTTTCAATTATGTTAAGTTTATGTTAGGTTTCAGACATTAGTTCTAGTAAAGGATTCATAGTTGGTAAAAAATACAATGTTTTTGGAAATGGCAATAATAATGGAAAAAGAATTGTTCTTAATAAAAACTATAATAATTTGTTTAAAAATGACCCTGATAAGGACCTATATGGCAAATTAAATTAAGCTGACCTAATGATCTGCAGCACATACATGTTTGTTACATAATGTGATTAGAAAATAAATTAGTATGTAGTATATTCCCAAAAACTGGTGCTGTTAGGTTTGAAAAAAAAAATAATAATAATAATAATTAAAAGTAGCTTTGTGAAATTTTCAGGGGTCATGTGCTCCAGTAATGATCAAACTCTAAAAATAGCCCTTATTATGATGAGTAAGTAAATTGATTTATAGTGTGCCCTTTTGGGGGTACAAATAACGCTAATTTGGCCTGAGCAGAAATTGAGTGACAGCCCTGCAATACAGTTTTTGTATTGATGCATCAAACTTTACCTTAAGTTATTCTTTTACTTTCTTTTCTCAGGCAACATTTTTGAAGTTGGCTGGCCCTCAGCTGGTGCAGATGTTTATTGGTGATGGTGCCAAACTCGTACGTGATGCATTTGCTCTTGCCAAGGAGAAAGCTCCCTCCATTATCTTCATTGATGAGCTGGACGCTATCGGCACCAAGCGCTTTGACAGTGAGAAGGCCGGAGACAGAGAGGTGCAGAGGACCATGCTGGAGCTGCTCAATCAGTTAGACGGCTTCCAGCCCAACATGCAAGTGAAGGTACACGCTTGAACCCGTATGCTGCTCTGTCACAATCATGGACCTATCAGCCTCAAGTTTTTTTTTTTAATGTGTGGAACCCCCAAGGTGATTGCTGCCACTAACAGGGTGGATATCCTTGACCCGGCTCTGCTGCGTTCAGGTCGTCTGGATCGTAAGATTGAATTCCCCATGCCCAACGAGGAGGCTCGTGCTCGCATTATGCAGATCCACTCACGCAAGATGAACGTCTGGTATGGAACATTTGTTCTTTTGTGTCTCAGTTGGTCTTGGGTATTATGAGTAAATTTATATTTTGCTGTTAGGTTGGGCATTTGCTTTTAAATGGTCATTTTGTGTTTTTGCACATCCACTGATGAGACAGTTACAGTGGTCGAGCACACCGTTATTGTAGACAAGACATGAAGTAAAAGATGCAAAACAAGAGCTTTCAGAGCTTATATAACGTTTTATTGGATTGCATGACAGTCATTTGTCTGTTCTATCTGTAAAGCTGAAGTGCAACTGTTATGCAAATTTGAATTATAATTCTCTTACACAAAAATTTGCATTATGTTCTCATATTTATTTAATGACTGTATCTTTCACTTCTTTGTGTGCTATAGTCCTGATGTGAACTATGAAGAGTTGGCACGCTGTACCGATGACTTCAATGGAGCTCAGTGTAAAGCAGTTTGTGTTGAAGCTGTAAGTATGATCTTTGCAGCCTGAATTTAATTTACCTTTGTTGCTCGTATCTTTATTTTTTTTTTCGAGGTGGTATTAGCATTGTGGTTAAGTCCCTGGACTTGGATGTCAGTTGTGAGACAAGTTTGATTTCAAAAAGGGGAAGCACATGTGTACTAAAAAGTACTTCAGTCATTCATATGCTTTAATGCAAGATACAACATGTCTGAAGATACCTGACAAAAAGAGATTTTTGTTTGCAAAGCAGAATCTGAATCAAAATTACACCCTTTAATGCACCACTTGTTTTTTTTCTTATGGGAGTAGTCATTGCTCCTGATTGTTATTATTGCATGTTACCTAAATGTGTATTGTTCGCTTTTGTGTTAGGGTATGATTGCTCTGCGCCGTGGGGCCACTGAACTTAACCATGAGGACTACATGGAGGGCATTCTGGAGGTGCAGGCGAAGAAGAAAGCCAATCTGCAGTACTATGCTTAACCCTGTGTGTGTGTGTGTGGGTGGTGTGTGTGTGTGTGTGTGGTTTATGAGGACACAAATTTGTATAATAACATGGGTATTACAACGAGAAGGTGATTTATGAGGACATTTTCAGTGTCCCCGTAATTCAAAAGGCTTATAAATAATTCAGAATTAGTTTTTTTTTTTTTATCTAAAAATGCATAAAGTTTCCTGTGAGAGGTAGTTTTAGGGGTAGGGTTGGTGTAGGGCAATAGAAAATACGGTTTGTACAGTATAAAAATCATTACGCCTATGGAGAGTCCCCATAAACCATAAAAACAAACCTGCGTTTGTGTGTGTGTGTACCTACCTGTTTTTCTATTCTGGTGGGGACACAGACTCATGGGGACTCATGTCACGGTGGGGACCTAAATTGAGGTCCCCATGGGTAAATATGCTAATCACACAGAATGAAGTTTTTTGAAAATCTAAAAATGCACAAAGTTTCCTGTAAGTGGTAGGGTTGGTGTAGGACAATAGAATGTACAGTAGAAAAACCATTACGCCTATGGAGAGTCCCCATAAACCATAAAAACAAACCTGCGTTTGTGTGTGTGTGTACCTACCTGTTTTTCTATTCTGGTGGGGACACAGACTCATGGGGACTCATGTCACGGTGGGGACCTAAATTGAGGTCCCCATGGGTAAATATGCTAATCACACAGAATGAAGTTTTTTGAAAATCTAAAAATGCACAAAGTTTCCTGTAAGTGGTAGGGTTGGTGTAGGACAATAGAATGTACAGTAGAAAAACCATTACGCCTATGGAGAGTCCCCACAAGGATAGCAAACCAGACGTGTGAGAGAGAGTGTGTTAGAGAGTGATCCAACAGCAGGATCAGTGCTACTGGGATCCAGTACTGTTCTGAGTAATTACCTGGTTCTGATGGAGACAGATCAACTGAAATCAGACTGGACTGCCTCACAGTGATGATTTATGGAATATTTCTCAATTAACCTCTGTTTGTCTTTCAGTTCATTAAAACGCAAACCTTTTTCCATTATTTGTGCGTTTTCTATGAAGGTGTCAAGTGTTGTTTCTTTATATCTCCACAGTTTTTCCTGTTTTATTAATAGTGATGGGAAAACCGGTAGTGAATAATCCTAGTTTTGTAATCAAGCTCTTCTATTTGTGTAATTTCTGCACCAGAAGTGTAAAATGTAATCGCAAAAGTGACTGTTTACAAACGCTCTCAATCTGCAATTGCTCATGCAGCTAGTCCCACCCCAAATTCATACTATTGGTTTGGACAATGCTGCTGGTACTGGTACAGCGATCCTCAGACAAACAGCAGCGTTTTGAAGTGCTGAAGTGTTTAAACCTTTCGCAGGAATCAATCAATTGCTGGGTTTGAAGAAACTTTTTTTTCTAATTTTATTATATACATGTACATTTATGAATACAATAATACATGCCTGCTGATCCTGAAAGTCACAGGCTCTCAAAGTTTTGTTACATGTAAAAATGATTGTACAGAAGGGCTAATATAATACTTAAGCTGTTCATAATTCAACAACATGGCCACACTGCGCAAACAGTTTGAGTTGCATCCTAATGTTGGGAGGTGCAGCTGTATTTTATCTAAAACATGTAAGCTCCTCTTCACTTTTCAGGCATAATGTCATGGGAAAACCTTCACTGGATCCTGTCTGTTTATCAGTTCCTACACTGGCGTCTTATTTTCTTGAGGGGGTGAAATTCATGCTAAATCTCACAGATGAATGGAAAGAATAATCTGATTCTCGCAGTCCTCTTTAAGAATTTTCCACAGAAACAGTTCAGCTCTCTCACTGAGGCTGTTTGCCAAATGATTCTCTCTTTATTGCTCTTCTTTACTAACTGTCACTTCATGTGTCCCAGATGGTACTGGTGAACTTTTGTGGTGTTCATTCTCCTCTCCTCCCTTCTGATCTCTGTATTTAACCCATACGCACACAAGCAGACCACTGCAGTGCTTCCGGAAAGCTGGATCACAGCAAGCGTACAGCAGAGGGTTTAAACAGCTGTTCACGTAGCCCAAACAGATGGAATATGGATGGGCTGCCACCAACCACTGGTCAAAACTGCAAGAAAAAGGAAGGATGCCCAATTCCACCATAGCGGAGAGTGTCTTGTTGGTGTGGAAGGGTAGCCAGCAGAGGAAGAAGGCTAGCACAAGGGTGATAATGATACGGAGGAGCCTGCGTTGGCGTGTATGATCAGGGCGCGTGCCTAGGCTGAAGTGTTGGGAAAGAAGGCGCCCCAGCCCACCATAGCAGAGCAGGAGCACTACAAGAGGTAACAGGAAGCCAAGCAGAGTTGATTTTAATCCTAAAGCTGCTGACCACATCAGCTCTGCCTGCTCCGAAGCTGCTGGACTCAGCTCACTTGAGATCAAACTGGAGTAGTCCATGTCACACAAACAGGAGGACGCATGTCCATCCTGCCCATCGCCATCATCTCCCTCTTCCAAATCCACCTCCCTAACAGTCCGCAGAAGCAGAGCAGGAAGTGCCAGGATTCCAGCTGCCAGCCAAACACTACCCACAATCCACTTGGCGCGTGTGGTTGACCGTCCCTGCTTTGAGCCGTTGACACGCTTTCGTGTGATGACACAGTAACGCTCCACGCTGAGCCCAGTCAGAGAAAACACGCTTGCATACATGTTCAGTGCCACAATGTAACTGCTCACCTGACACAGAACTTGGCCAAAGGGCCAGTGGTAGCCCAGTGCTGTGTATGCCGCCCACAACGGCAGGGTCGTGACAAAGGCCAGGTCAGCCAATGCTAGACTGGCTATTAAAGACTCTGTTACTGTACGAGAAGATGTAGGGGAGGGGCAAGGAGATGGATCGGGGGTCTGGGAAGATTTGGAACCGCTTCCACTCTTCCCACGGTCTCTCGCTCGGCGGTCCAGGTACACCCATAGCACCAAGCCGTTACCCAGGGAGCCCATGACAAACACCAGGAGGTACACACTTGGAATCAGCACCCAGGTTGCAGACCATTCTCTGTAGTCGCATGAGGGAAAGGGAGAGGGTGAAGGGAAGGGCAGAGACCCGGACATCTGAGAGCCACACACTTGCACCTAGTGTAGAAAGCAAGTGGATGACATGAGCAAGAAAGAGAACTGAGAGTTTCTTTTTAAGGGCTTGAGAGGGGAAGAATGGTTTGGAAAAAGAAACGCTTCTTTATAAACTGATGATGGGAGCACTTGTCTTTCCCCTGGATTTTCGTTTTTTTTTCTGTTTTTAGATGGTTACCACGAATTAGTTGAAAGAGTCAGTGACTTCCTTCCTCCTCAGTCCTCTTCAGTTTCTGTGGGATATCACTGACAGACAAAAGACAAAAAAAAAGGTTATTGGAAGCTGTGAATTAAAAAACAGATGAGAAAGGACTTCTCATGTAATTTCTGGTTATGTCACATACATTCTCAACCCGTAAATAACCATCTTATACACTGCCTGGCCAAAAAAAAAGTTGCACATGCTAATATTTTGCTGGATCACCTTCAGCTTTGATAACGTGGTGCATTTGTTTTGGCATTGTTACACCAATGAAAATGATTCTCTTTCAAAATTTGAGCCTGCATCTTGGCATTGTCATGTTGGAATATGGCCTTGGGATACTTCTTCCAACGTGGTTGTTTAACAAATAAAAAGCTAAAAGCTAACATCAGATAGTTCTAAAAGAACTTTTGCCAAACATATAACATGCCAGAAGCATAATCAATGCAATAATGATCCAATCACTCATAATTATTTGCTTATTTAAATACAAACAGGGATTTTTGTTTTGTTTTTTTGGCCAGGCAGAGTATGTTATACTTGTATAACAGTATGGACATAACTAATCCACGTCAGTAAATACACTTCCTAATTCTGCAATAAAAAAATGTTGCATCTCATTCTCCTTTTGTTGTTGTTGTGTACTAATCTAGTGATGCACATACATGTACAGGAAAAACTAATAAAATCTATCCCACAAAAGCAATGCTTCTCTATCACACCTCAGGTGGACATACAACATGAAACAAAGCATCTCATACCTGTAAGAGTTAGCCTCTGCTTCTGTTAATAAATGTGCCCAGTTCCCTCTTCTGTGTGATTAGTCTCTGACTGTTTTCAGATTATCTTTTTAAAAGAAGGACAAAAGTTACTCTGTATCCATGGTTTTCTCTTGATCTCTCTCAATGTCTTCCCTCTCCCAGAATCGAATGCTTTTTTTGTGTCTCACCTACTGAAAAGTGTCTCTTTAAATACCCTCTCCTCTTTGTGTCCATTCCCTTTTCTGTTCTGTCCTCCTCCTCTCTCATAGGACCACCCTGTAGCAGATTTGTGAGATCTCCAAATAGTCCCCCTGCTCTTTAACAGACTGAGTAAACTCAGAACACCTCAGGCTTGAAAGAAGCTTTATACACATGACAATGTCTTTCACCGTAGCAAACAGCATACATCTGGCCAACACTACCACTACATACACAACGTTGTATTAGCAAAGTATGCATTCTTACAAATAATGGGTTACCTAAAACATTGGGAGATCAGGAAATCAGAGACATTATGTGTGGCCCAATGTTGTACTGACTGCGTTCACTGAATCACACTGGAGGGTGATTTTATACCAAGACAAGTGAGAGTTAGACCTGTACATTTGCATACATTTCTATATCAGCACATGCCTGAAGAGTTTGAAACATCTTTGCGTACAAAAAAAAAATCCTATGATTGGGAATTCATTTTATATACAGTATAATCACCATATATCTACATTTCTGAAGCTCTAAAGTAACAATTTTTCATCAATTTCATGCTGCTAAGTTCAAAGAATACAATGAGGAACTTGCTATACTTTATAATTTTCTGTTAAGTCTTATTTCTGACTGCTTCTTCCAAAATTGGTCTGGACAAGAGACTTACAAGAAACTTTTAGGTGGGTTGCAGAAAATAAACAATAAACATGCCATATCAAGCATGGCAAATTGAATGTAAAATACGATGTTAATATGTTTGGAAACATATCTTAGATTATAATAGATTATCCCATAAAT